ATCAACATGGTATTGGTGTTAAAAGATAAAAAAGAGGCTTTTGAAAATTATGTGAAAGCAGCTGAGTTAGGAAATCCAGAACCTGAAGTAACTTCAGAACTTGAAGTAATTCTAGAAACTGAAGTAACTTCAGAACCTGAAGCTCCAGAACATGAACCCCAGAATCTGAAGTAGCCCAAGTTAAAAAAGGAAAAATTCATCACACGTAAAACTCGCGATTATATATTTAACAAAGTAAAATTCATAAAACTTGTGATTCATAAAACCCGTGAATATAATTACGAAGACAAGCATGAAAGAATTATAAATGTGGACAAGTATAGGTATATATATATATATATATATAAAAGAAATAAGTCGGGTAAGTAGAAAATAACAATATTACGGCTAAATTAATAATATACCAGTAATAACCTTTTTCTTTTATTTTTTATTTTTCACGTCCGTCTCCATCGCCATCACATTCAAGAAATAATAATTTTTTTGACGATAATTATAAAGCATTAAATGTACAGGATGTTCTATCCGTTGTTTAGTAGGATAAGTTCGTTTGATTGTTTTCATAGATAATTAATTCAGATTAATCATTTTACCTTATGTAAACATCATGCTAACTATGAGGGAGGAACAAAGGGCTTCATGCAACTCTTAATTATTTAAATGTTTAATAACCAACTCGGTTCTGATAAAAAAAAAAAGTTGAATGTGTAAACATTATTATAAATTTTTTAGATGATTAGAAATTTTAGGTTCTGAATTTTTCTATTAATTAAATTAGTTGTGAAAAGCATGATTAAAAAATTTTCTAAATATACTAAGATAAATTCATTTGTTTTCAAAGAGCATTTTCTAAATGTATCTGTTAGCAAAGTTATATAAAACATTAAAAGAATTTTTATTTAATGATTATGGCATTCTAAATTTCAAAGTAACTAAGAATTGTAATAAAATTTTTTCAAATTTTCGTTCCTGCTCTGATCGCCGAGTCTAATACATTTGATGTACGGGTTAAATAAACATCGCTATGATATTTTATCCTGAAATTGGTTATATATAGGTGTAAAAGCATACATAATAAGAATTTCAGCGTTTGTAATTTTATTATATATAATGGTTAAAAATTAAATGTGAGCTATTAATTCAACAATTATATCTAACAATTGAAGAAACTTCTCACACAATACTAGAAAAACTTGATATCGATTTTTTTATTTATCTCTTATAACAATGTATATGCTTGTTTATATTTTCTTTGTTTCACTATATTGTAAAATTTAATTATTTATTTGTTAAATAATATTTTGTACAATAGTTTACGACTTTGATTTACTTTTTGTTTATGCATATCATCCGTTGCACACCTGTGCGATGATGAAAGCGTTAATCTTAAAATGCAATCAATCGATCACAATTTTTAAAGCATGTTTATGATCCCTGACTGACAAAAAAAAAAACGCTTAATATCGATATAATTTAAATATGCAGAAATTGTACTAAATTACTATCTAAAATATGCATGTATATTTTTCAGATTTGTAGCAAGAATTTTTATTGTGAAACATGTATATCTATCATTTACAAAGGATATACTGTATATACAAAAAACAAATGAAATGAAAAATAAAAGGTGTATATATATATAAAATGTCTTGTAAGAAATTTTGTAGATTAAAAAAATTATACAAAATATAAAAGTATTGAAAAATGATTGAAGCACGAATAGAAATTGAATATTGCATTGATGTTAAATGCAAATTAAAAGCCCTTCGATTATAATAATAGTGTCCAGCACCAACAGCTCAAAATGACAACCTGTATCATAGCTAAACCCGAAAGACATAAAACTACTAATCTAAATTTTCAAAATGTCTTTCTATTTAAAACTATCCGGAGAAATAATTTATTACCATTAGAAAAAATTTTTATTAAATGTTTTTAGGAAAAAGAAAAGAAAAATATACAATTTTTAACGTTAAAAAACGCTAAACACTAACTAACCAAAGCTACCCCGGTGCAGGATAAATTGTAAACCTCAAGTTTACGTTAATGGTCCTTCCGGCGGTTGCGGCAGTGGAGCATGTCACATGCCCGACAAATACGCCGCCTCAGTTGAGTTTCATGAAGAATAATCATGATCTTCGCAGATTTCTGAAAAAACGCCTTCTTCTTCCTCACCAACGTCTTCAGGTTTAATACCATAAGTGTTTTTATAAATTTTTTCAAAAGACTGGCATAAACTTTTAAGTCCTAATAAGTATCCTTTATCGTAACCTTCATGTGGTGGATATTTATACTCTTCAGGTGAATAATCTTTGCCCGTCGTACAATGAGCAAAATCAATTATTTTAACGTCTATATCTCGTGGATTGCTCTCATCGCCATCATAAATAAGCAATAAACTGCTTCCATAGAATCGGTAGTTCGAAAGTCCACGAATTATTTTTGCAAGACGGCGAAGTTTACGAAGAATAACGGGAATATGATGAACTAAAAGTGCTTTGCCATTATGAATAAAATCGACTAATGAATTAAAGAAAGTTTCATTATTTAGAGAGCGACCATAATATTTATCCTGAAAATGAACTTGTTTTGTCGTTGATTTATAAACCTATATAAAAAGAATTAAAAAAAAAAAAAATTAAAAAGATATCTAAATAAAATTAAATAATAATAACAATAATAGTAACAATAATAATAACAATAATAACAATAATAATAAATGCAAACACTTGCCTGCATGCCACA